TAATGGAACGGAACATTGTATTTTAAGTTTAATTTTCATTGTTGAATTTGAATTGAAGTTTCAGTTTTGAAACATTGGAATTTCAGTGTTACGATGGTAATATATCTTAAAAAGAACAATTATATTATTATGCTCTACTGCTGTATCAAGCACTGTCTTTAAAAAATAAGACTCAGGTTCTAATGTCACCCTTGTGAATTTGTCCTTTTTAATCGATATCACTCCATGTAAGGCAGTAAAGTCACTAAAACTCAAGCGGTTACAGGGTGTGTCAAAATTAGCAACGGAAACATTAATAATGAGCAGAAGAGAAAAAATACCTGTATAGGTATATAGATAGGTATACTCGGTCATTATATATATTATATATATAGAAACAGCCAGTCATATATATATATATATATATATATATATATATATATATATATATATATATATATATGTAACTGGCTGTTTCTATCTCCAATAAATTTCAGAGACCGATGTGACTTGTGTATTAACATAACGAGTTAATTTTTAAATGTAGACATAAAAAACACCTCAGTCTAACTAAACATATTTAGAAATAACTAGAAAGGAAAATATTATGTTATTTTTGGAAATGATTATATGCACACATGGGTGCGGATGCATAATTGTATGTATACAAATGTGTAGATGAACTTGCACATTGATATGTGGTTTTATGTATGTATGTATGTGCATTTGTATGGGGGTGTATACATACATATATGTGTATGTATGTATTGTAGGCGCATATATGAAAATATATAGATATAGATATGTATGTATGTGTGTGGATATATTCGTAAGTTTGGATCGGTATGTTTGTATATATATATATATATATATATATATATATATAGAGAGAGAGAGAGAGAGAGAGAGAGAGAGAGAGAGTCATGTATGTAAGATTGCTTGTGTTCTGTATATTTATATGTGTATATATATAGATGGAAGTATTTGTGAGTTCGTATTTGTAATATATGTGAATATATGTAAAATATAGTAATATAAATACATATACATGTGTGGGTGTTTATGGGTATAGATCTGTTTTTTTATATATTTATATATATGTATAGAATGTATTCTAATGGAAGGACATAAAGTTATTTTATTAAAGATTTAATCTTACTTTTATTAATATTTAATTTTACTTTCTCTTTTAATATTCTCTAATTAGAATTGTGAGATTATTTTTTTTCATCTGGATGTAATTTCATTGTAAATTGATAATTTAATTTAAATTTAAATATATCACTCTTTCACTATGAATATTGATAGTAAAATATTAAAATTAGAAATATTTGTTTTGATATTTTTATATATATATATATATATATATATATATATATATATATATATATATATATATATATATATATATATATATGAAAATGTCTCCGATTTAACCAGTAGAGAAGACAATATTTATGAATAAAAATGACAATAGGAAAACTAGTAATTGCTGACGCATTTCGTCCAATAAAGTCCACATTGGACGAAACGCGTCAGCAATTACCAGTTTTCCTCTTGTCATTTTTATATATATATATATATATATATATATATATATAATTTTAACTATAACATAAGATGGATTTACTACAATAATTGTTTTTGTACAAATATTTGTATATATAATGGTTAGCTACTCTCGCTTGACGGGTACTAGCCAATCCCTCATGCAGACGTCTGCTTTGTTTGTTCAACTTCTACAGAACCCACATGTGGTTTATACTGCAACAAGGCTGAATGGACCTTTGTTAAAGTTTGTGGGGAGTGAGCGCATAATCTGTCAGCAGTCTAGACAACACAGTACGCTCAGACCCTTGGTCACGATGACTTGTCACTTCGTACTAGCACAGCTATCGTCAACTATTCGAACAGTCCGTCTACTCAATTTCTACCAAGCTTTCAGTTCCATCTAGAATCATCTTCAGGGGAAGGAACCAGTAGATGATACACCCCCCCCACACACACACACTAAAGATATAATGGATTTCTTTTATTTATATATATTCCGAGAGGGTTTAAAAATTTAAACGCTTTTTTTTTTGTTTTCTTTTGTTAAATAGCCATATTTGAATAGACGGTACTCCAACGATTTCCACTACGCAAGTTAGAATCCTACGAGGAAGCGCTTCTTTTCGTTAATAAGATTTCTCGAATATTCAGAACATTAGACGAAAATAAATAAATATACTGTTTAATAAATAAACGGAAGGTCTACTCAAATATGGGCATCCACTAAATATAACGTTTAAGTGATTATATATATATATATATATATATATATATATATATATATATATATTACGAAATGGACAAAGTCCGACAAGAATGTATAAACATAAAAATGTCTTAAATACATTATATATATATATATATATATATATATATATATATATATATATATATATATATATATATATATTAAATTCAGGAGGTTAGTTGAATCCACTATTTGGTTTCAACCTTACAGTATCCTCATGCGATTTTTATCAAATAACCTCTTCTTAAGGCCTTATTTTATTTTATTTTTTTAAATAATGTACGCTATAAATAAAAAATAAGATGTCATTTGATAAAAATCACCTGAGGATACCATAAGGTTGAAAACAAGCTATCGGATTCAACTGATCTCTTCACTTTTAACTTTTATCTGTTTTTTTTGTTTTGTTTTTTTTCACACGTGTATTGAGCACTTTTCAATACCACTATTTATCGTCTGGTTCAACTCTGACCATTAACCTTTTATGTAACTTATATATATATATATATATATATATATGCAAGGATTGGTGTATACGGTGTATGTAAGGATTGGTGTATACGGAATAAATTCCAGTAATCAACAATTACTATTCTTAAAAGAGTGCTCTATACAGAGTAGAGCGAATATAATTATTTATTCGAAAATTATAACATAAAAATGTTATAAAATCACTACAAAAATAGCCATTTTGTTTCAACACCTCTGGTATCTTATCATCTATATATGTGTGTGTGTGTGTGTGTGTGTGGAGAGAGAGAGTGATTTATGTGTGTGCTGACTACAGATTATCTGAATTACTAAGCTGACCGAGCATGTGAGCAACAACAAAGTTTTAGAGAAAATGGAAACGAAAAGGAAATTTATACTTAACATCTGGAAAGACAGTTGAAATTTCTAGATCACATAATGAGGAAAAATGCCTTGGAGAAACTGATACTCACAGGACAGATTGAAGGCAGAGGGGACAGAGGCAAGTAACGCATAACATGCTTAGTGAGTTTGAGTTATGGATGTCGGGACAAGTTTTAGGAAAAATATGATTCATTAAATGTGACGAAGGACAGAAAATTATGGATAGCCATGATCTCTTATGTCTTGCGGGAACACGACACATAAAGAAGAAAGTTCTATACGTTTATGAATTCGTAGTCCACAAAGTAACTATATGACGAAGATGATTCGTGATCCAATAGTAATTATGAAAGAATGTTACCTTCATGCATATATATATATATATATATATATATATATATATATATATATATATATATATATGTTCCAGGTATTCTGGTGCGGAGTCGATGAGGCTTGATTCAACCTGCAGAATCTATCAAAATTCGACGCACGCCAACCGTTCATAATAACTCCCTAATTCTAATCCAATCTCTCATTGGCGTAGACTATTTAATTGTACCTTAACTCTCGTTTAATCAAGACAGAATATATAAATTTGTTGATTCAAATTTATATATATATATATATATATATATATATATATATATAGGGCGGGGTGCATGCGGGCGGGCGCGCGATACAAATATGCCTAAAGAAAGACAGTGTGCTTGAATTTGCGAATAATTCTTTGCAATTTCCGCGGGACACATTTCGCAAATTTCCACTTCTCTCTGAGTGCAGTAATGAGCCCCCAGAGCTCATTGGCAAGTTTCAATATTTCACTTCTACCAATATGTTCATTATTATTATTATTATTATTAATATTATTATTATTATTATTATTTACAAAAGCCAGATCAGGCCGTTAACGGAGTATTGCTGCCGTATATGGTCGGGAGCTGCCCAGTCTTCACTTTCCTCTCTCGATAAAATCCCAAAGCGTCTCCGCGTCCTTGTAGGTGACGAATTATTTTACACCCGGCAATCCCTTTCCCACAGACGAGATGTCGCAAGCCTCTCGCTGCTTTGTAGCTATTTCCATGGAAAGTGTTCAGATGAACGATACTCCTTAGTTCAACCAGTCCTAGCTTTCAAGACTCCCCATGCCACGTCCATTGTAGCGAGCCACCGTCGTTCACATCAAATTTCTCTAGTTATGTATAAGTTTCACACAAAAGATTCTTTCCACAAACCACTGCCTAGCGGAACCGATTCCCAAAAGGTTGCTTTCCTGATCAGTACCTGTCCTAATTTAGTGTTAAGCATTTTCTTCAACGCATATCCGCATAAGCTGTACCATTTACTAACCCTCTTCCTCGAATGACCTCTGAGACGTGTACAGAGTGAACCCTACTGTAAAATAAAATTATTTCGCCATCATTATTATTATTAAATGAGAGAGGACTGCATCAAAAAAGTGACGCTGTGGTACAAATATACGAAATTCGATAAGCCCATCATGATACCCACTCTGTTAAAGTTATACCAAGCTCATGCAACACAGCTAAATATACACGTTATGTTGACAGGTCTTAATCTTTTAGGTGTTGCCCTGTCCTCAAGTTCGGGTAACGCAGTCTGCCGAAACGGGTATCGATAGCGAATGTTCCCAGGTATATAGATTAGTCTCCTAAATTGTCTTGGTTGACTGATCCATCAGATTTTTAAAAAAATTGTGACACCATTCCATGATGGCTCCACTACAGCCGTTCAGATGATGCATACTGTATCAAACAATAGGGGACATGCGCGACTGGTTATGGTCAGAAAACGGACAAGTAAATAAATCTGTATTAACAGACAACCTATTTACGCAAAGCCATCTTACGGTCATATAACGTTGAAACACCAGTTCTTGTCCGATCACCAAAGTTAAGCATCATCGACCCTGCTCACTACTTAGATGGGCGATTACTTGGGGATACCAGGTGCAATAAGCTTTGTGATGGGCGAGCTATGTAATGGATAATGAGAACCGAATTCATTACGTGTGCATTACGGATCGAGAATATCATAATCAAGCAGGTCTGTGTCGTAACGATGGATTATACCTTACAGATTTCAGCGAAAGGTGGGTAAATGTGGCAAGCCTGGTTCGCGTGAACGAGGCTAGCTTTGATTTTCTTTTTTGAGTCCTCCTAAGTCACGACGGGGCGGTTTCCTGTGGAGCTCTCCCTTAGTAAAGATAGGCTCTTCTTGTGTATCTAGTTAATCTAAGTGTCGTTCCCGGCCTGTGCCCGACTTCTCCATACGGTCCAAGTCGAGATTCCCAACCTCCCCAGTTTGCTTTGTCCCGCCCTTTTCATCACGACTGGGTCAGTCTTTTGAATTTTCTAATGCCCATGTTTTTTTAATCCTTCCCATTCCCTTAGAGAGAAAGAGAGAGAGAGAGAGAGAGAGACTCATAATGTTGTCAGAAGACAGAATACAGCGGCAACTCTAATTTCTGAGAGGTGGACGGGTCTTACTAAAATCTTACTTTTCTCAGTTTGTTTTCGGGGTCATCACTCACCACCCCCCAATCATTTCATAACATTGATTGAATTTTTATACCATTGTGCATAATGCAATTTTAAGTCATGGTGTATTTTTCGGTAGGGACCCTGTGTGGGTCAGGTATTTTTTTGTATGTAGGAGCGAATAATGACGGATAGACTTTTGTGATGAATGAGTAAATTGTAACGAATGAATGGGTCGTGAATCTGATTAGCTAGGTATAAGATTGGTAGTGTCGACAAGCCTTGACCCATCATCTCTTTTTTCGGCCTTGTTACTCTATTCAATCAGTAATAAATCGTGGACATAAAAATAGTAATTGGTGTCTTTGATAAGAAAAAGATTGTAATAATGGGTCATAAAATTTACTTACAAAATAAAAAAGAAAAGTATGCCGAGTCGCTATGTAATATCTAATTTCCTACAGAGCAGTGATTGCTGAGTAACTTCCTGACATATGAAGAAATAACTCGAACATGTTGTCATAGCGACGAATGTTGACAATATCGTGAACAAAGCATGTAAAAAAATGACTAAACTTTACGTTAAATAGTCTGTCCGAAAAAAAAACTGTTAATAAAAATCAGAGATAGGGAGCAAAGTCTTTTGGTACATATAAGGAAAAAATGCTTGGAGAACTTAAAACTCACAAGGCAAGAGAAGCAGAAATGAGCAGCCAGTTAGTTGATGCTAGTTTCGGGTAAATTGTAGAACACGGATCATAAGTTATTAAATAGCAAGAATTAGAGCAACAACAACAAAAATGTTTTTACATGCAAAATATTCTTCTTATCTTTGTTATTATCACACCGTTTCGACCGTCGTGCCCTCCCGCCTTCCTCACGTGATTGTCGATCCAGATAACCTTCAGAGAATTTCGAACTGGACCCTTTATTTAATCTATGGAGCGTAGACCGTTCTCATTCCGCTGGACTTCTCTAGGGATATCTCGTCTTGTTACTATTTTAAAATGCTCGGTTTTGCTGGTCCAGTTTCTACTAAATTCATATACACACTGCCCCCCAGGGATTGAACTTACAATTATTGCACCAGCAAATTCACGGATCAAAGCTTAAATCTAAAAAAAAACGATCATTGAACGATATCAGATTTTTTTTCCTTTTTTGTTTAAAAGCATATGAATCCTTTAATGTCGAAATTTAATTTTCTTGGGAGCTTTGAAGTAATAAATATATGTTATTCTACTTTCACAATTGAATACATGGTAGATGATACTCAGCTTTTGTTCTGTGACATGTTTGTATGGACATAATTACAAGAGGTGGTGATAGGTGTGTTTTATGTTGTAGTTTTGTGAAAGTTATATTTTGGAATACAGTTTGATTTCTTAAAGAAATTGTAGGATATTAGATGGATTAATTCCATGAAAGAGTTCTTTTCACGTTAGTTGGCTGATTTTGTTTAGCGGCATATCAACACCTCAATGGGTTATTTAATGTTGAAACATAAATATTTTGAACACGATTGTATGCCTTTAACTACAGATAAAATGTATTGTTGGTTATTTTGTTATAAAATGTATTGATAATTCAACTATAAAATGTATTACTGGTAATTATAATATAAATATGTATTGCTTGTCATTTTACTATAAAAATACATTGTCGGTATTTTAGTATAAACTTTATTTTTATATTTTCTTTTTTTTGTTTCATTGTGCTTTGGTTTGACAGTTTACTATTTGTTCATATTTGGGACCCTAACAGATGCTACCACCCCGGGTCAAAGTTGACCCGGGAACAAAAGCAATTAAGAAATGATTCCACGCTCCTCAAAGCATCCAATCTTCCGATCAGAGGCCTTGCTGTCAGTTGTAGTAAACTCGTGACTCAACGTAATACGTTGTCTGATTTATTTATGCTGACGTACGTCAAGTGGGTTTAGACAAATTATTTTTTGTAAACTACCACTATTGGTTCCAATCTTCCAATCAGAGGTCTTGCTGCAGGGCGTACTTTTTCGTTATACTCAGGACTAGATACTAAAAGTGCAATGAGACTATGTTGAAACTTGACATATACATACTGCATGGAAATTGTCCTTACTTTTTCATTTACCTGCATCCATATATACATATATATTTTATTACTTAAACGTTCTTTTTAATAGATACTCATATTTGAGTAGACGTTCCGTTTATTTATTAAACAGTATACTTATTCATTTTCGTCTACACGCCTGGATATTTGAGAAAACTTATTATAGAAAAATATGCGCTCTCCGGCAGGATTCGAAACTGTGTTCCTCTAAGGGACATGCTTTGAGCCTCTTGACCTCTTGAGTGCGTCTATGTGAAGCAAAGTTGAATAGACATTATTTACATTATTCGGACTATTGTCCTCATCTTTGTCGCCATATCTTGCAACAAAGATGAGGACAATAGTCCGAATAATGTAAATAATGTACATAATACCTCATCTCAGAAATATAGACAGATACTGAAAGTTGAATAGTGCCTTTAAACATATTTTGCTCTACCTTTCGAAATGAACATAACTGCACAGTCACAGTATAGAAAATATTATTGGTCCTCCGATTTCAAAGTTCGGCTGAAGTAATATTTTTTTCATTTCTTTTGGAAATTCATCGATTCCCTTCACTCAGAGGATCACTCCACAGCTGCTGACGTTATTATGCCATTCGGTACACGTTTCATCTTACTTGAAGGGGAAATTCGCACTGCAAAGAAATCCTATTGCCTCAAGAGAAGCTATGAGAAAAACCAGCATGATACCCTAACAATTTACAATATCATTTGATACCTTAGCTTGGGGACGTATTATCCATTTCAAATGTTTAGCTGTAGGGAAATAACGGACAGTTAGTATTTGTCCACTCAAACATATTGTAACACAATATTGAGTTTATATTGGAAACCCCCACATTAATGTCGGTACCTCCACTAATTAGCCCAAAACATGACATACTATGATAAAAGAATGACGCATATTTGCCTAAAACTAAGTTTTATCGCCAAAATCTTTATGTTATTATTAAGAGGAAAGACCAAATTATTTTTGAATGTTTAATTAAGTTTTTTAATCCTTTTTAGAACATTCGAAATTTTGATTAAAACCTTGTTTTTCTTGCGTCAGCGTTTGAACTATAAAACAGTATATCAAATTTTGGAGTCTTTTTTGCAGTGAAAGACATTGATTTAGAAATTCTTGCAAAATTCAAATAGCTGTCAAATTTTAATGAAACTTTAATGACTTATTCACAAATGAATGAAATTATTTTAGAAATGTATATTTTTAGAAAATCTTAGAAAAATATATTTTTATATGTGTTTTCACCCGACTTGATTTTATATTTGAAACCCAACGCATTTCATGTGATTGAGAGCAAAATTGCTTAAATCTCCTCAGATGTTGCCCCTTTGGCTAAGCCTCAGGTGCCAGAGATTAACGTTAACTTCATCCCGAATAGGGAGTTATTGCCTGGGGACTGGCTTCTGGAGCCCGAATCATTCACATTTCATTTGACCCCGTGGTGTCCTTACATAAATATCAGAAGAAAATAAACAGGCAAGTTAACTTTGTCATTCATTGTTCGTGATTCTGGACGTCGCTAGGCGACAGACTACTGTGAATTTGTCGGTTAGTCAGATCAGGAAATACGATAAGGGAGTGTCACCCATGATTTCCATTTTCGTTTATCAACATTAAGTGCAAAAAAGAGGGACTACTGAATCTGGTTTTCATCAGAGAAAAATTTCCCCCAATTTAAGCATTTTGCACCGATGGAAAAAGGTAAAGAGCTATTGGTGGAAGGTCAATTGAATATCGCGAGTGGAATAGAACAGACCCAATCAGTTACATTTTTTTCCCTGGAAGAACACTTGCGTTGTCATCGGGGGAAACACGGTTTATCATTTAATCCGCTGCGTAGGAAGTCATTGATGTGCAAAAATAAAAATACTATTTATGTGAGTTACGTATGTTAGTGAAGTTCAAATTTATTCTCAAGTGTTACGTATGATTAGCAGTTAGAAGGATACATTTGTCATTAAAACTGGTTCCCCACAACGGGAATGACTCAACATGTTGGTTCATATAGCTGAATTTATTTAACGGCATATCAACCTTAATATCAACCCAATATATCTCCATATTTTGAACACAATTTTATGGCTTCAACTACAAATAAAATGTATTGTCGGTGATTTTACTATAAATATGTATTGTTGGTTGGATGATTTGGTTTAGCGGCATATCAACACCTCAATGGGTTATTTAATGTCACCATCTACATATTTTGTTAGTAATTTTATTCTTTCAACTACAGATATTTTATACATGACTTTATACTTTAAGGGTAAATATATGTTCTTTAGTTATATAGTTTGTAGATCATAAAATCTACTGTTGGTAATTTTACTATAAAAATGTATTTTTATACATTTGTTTGGGAGT